TTGTTGAGTATCCTGAAATATTACGTTGTTTAGTATCTATGAATTTAAAAGTGTCATTATTTGTAAGAGGGTGCATTAAACTCTGATCATGCTCTAATACGAGCACGCATTTGCTTGCGCCTCACTGGACGCAGGAAAATCCACATTAAGAAAACCGGTTGGAGTTGAGCTCAGTGACGAGAAAGCCAAAAGTAGATTCCAGGAACAACTGAGGTCACACCTAGGCAGTTCTGAAAATGAAGCTGACCCGGACGTTGCTTGGAATTTTATACAAACAGTTGTATAAACAGCAGCGACATCTATTAGTGATGTGAACCAAGAGGTCACGAAAAACCAGTGGATTTCCACTAAGTCTATTGCACTGATAGATTCTCGTAAACTAACCCCATCTGACTCCAAAAACGATAAAGTGCAATAACAAATCAGATCTAGGTTAACCAAAAGTCTAAGGAATGACCCTGAGCGGTGATGAGCGACGAAAGCAAAAGGGATGGGAAAGGCAGCGGCTGTATGTAACACCAGACAGCTTATCAGGCTAATAAAAGAAGCTGGAGTTATGAAGTTAAGTGTAAGCGAGACTATCTCGGAAAAAGACGACATTTATCTGCTCTCAGCCCAGATATTTAAAACGATGGACGATGCACTTTAAGGAGCAGTTCAGCTGGCCTTCAGCTACTTCACAACTGCCCACCATTCCCAAACAGCCTGGATGGAACACTGACGTAGGCCATAGCTAATCTGAAACGAGGATGAGCAGCTGGTCCATATGACAACTTCACTTATCTCGGAAGTCTAATCAGCCCTAAGTGGTCGGTGTCTGACGAATCTCAGCATGGATTCAGAAAGCTCGTTTGGCTTTTGCCAACTGACGTCACCTATGGCGAATGCGAAACATCAGTCTATCAATCAAGGGACGAGTATACTGCTCAGCATTTCGTTCTGTTCTACTTTACGGCTGCGAAACGTGGCTATGAAGAGTAGAAAATAGCCGTAAGCTACTAGTATTTGACCACAGATGCCTTAAAAATATTGCTGGCGTTTGCTGGGATCACCGGTTAAGTAATAGTGAGGTCAGGCGCATGGTATTAGAGAATGATGGTGAATCAGTTGATGGGTTGTGAATCTTCATCGACTGAGATAGTTGGGCCACTTGTTACGTATGCCTGATCACCGATTACCACGACGTGCAATACTGACTAGTGTTGGATACGGTTGGAAGAAAGTGTGGGGTGGCCAAACCAAGATGTATTATCAGTGCTTGAAGTCACTGACTTCTGGTCTTAGCCATGTTAGTAGATGCAGACTACTTGGTTGGGGTCCACGCGACTATTGTAACGGATGGTTGGAGACTTGGTGACATGGCACAGGTTCGATCACGATGGAGTTGGTGTATGTACTCTTTATTTTCCTCTAAACCGTGAGATTAAATTTACTTTATACCTTTCTACTAACTAATTTTTTCTCCCGTATGTCACATCCTTACACGCAACTTTTCTTTTATATATTACTACCATTGAAGTAAATACTTCTATGAATTCGGTGTTTATCTTGGTGTGTTAATGATTTTTGGCAACTTGGACCGAGGCATGTATGTGCCTGGTCCTACTTGTAGCTGACGAACTGACTTGATGCATTATCGAGTTTTCAATGTGGACATCGCTAATCGAGCGTAGGTAAATCCAGCTAACTTAATCTTAGATAAGACAGCACACACTTCCTTAATTCCATTGTTAAACATAATCCATTTATTCTATAAGGTATTTAGGAATACATTCGACAGGTGATTCCTTAAACAGTGCAATAATTGATAATACCATTTACGATTTATTGGACAACGATTTACCTTTGACCAGTAGTGATAGCGTGGTGTATACTGCTTATGCTGACAGATAAAAGTAATATTTAGCAGAAATCGGAAAGTGGAATGCCTGCTAGTGGAAGATTGAATTGAGGAGAACGGGGTGGAAAACAGAAAGAATTTGAAATAACAACGGAATTGTAAGAATTATGAAGTATGTAAATGAAAACTGATGGAAGATGTTCAAATGATGTATTTCATGTATGATATTCATATTTTCCGAAATCACTGTGTAATTTTGCATTTAACAATAAATTGGCTTTCTCTACTTAGGTTCTCGTTCACTACAGTAGTAATGGACATCATTGACATCTTTCATCTTTTGGAATTCAGAAATGATCAGTTGATCTCGATAACATTTACACTAAAAAAACACAACACATTTTAGCAAACTGTTCGTATTGGTCACTTGTAATTATTATTAATAACCAATTTTTCAATAACGTTTTCTTCTCACAAAAGTTAATTTTATTATATATTCGTTGGGACGTTTTTCTGGTGTTGTCTAACCATTTTGGTTATTTTTCTATTAACTGTACCATTAGATAAATTTTCAAATCAATCTAATTGATTAACAATAAGATTATTTTATAATAAAATCTTTGATTATGAATTCCATTTTGCTGTAAATGTCAATATAATATAGAGATTTCATTTATTGTGACAAATTTATGAGATTACATTGAGTATTTTTTTTAAAAAGTTTTCGTTATCAAGATTATATATTTGATCATATTTATTAGAGTGAACATCAACTTTGAGATGCAGATACATTCAGCTGACGTGTCCCAAACAGGACGAAACGAGCGTCCAGGATTCCACTGCTAGCCACTATCCATCTTTGCTTGTTTATTAGATTGTTGATTTTATTTATACGATAAGAAATTTTATTAAGGTATTAGATGATTTATACTTTTCATGGTTATTTATTATATACTATTTATATATCGAGATAATGATAGAAAATGAAGGAGAACCTGGATTATGGTAGGACTTGAAGCAGAGGAACCTTCAAGCGATTGGAATACTTCGCTACTAATTAATTTATGAAATTCAACTATCAACCTAGTCACATATTTATTCATAATCACAACACTCACTAATTTAAATCAAATTGGAAAGCAGATGAATCATACATCTTGAATATGACAAGTTAGTTGATCTTAAGCTATCGATGTGAACTCTTCATTGCTATCGTTTGCTTCATTTTCGTACACCATCCATGTCCTGCATTCCACTGCTAGCCACATTCATTTTTTTATTTTAATTATGATATATATAAAGTTCTCAGTATATGGGGTTGTAGAGATTGTTGGATTTCATTAAAATCATTAACCTATCTAAGCTAGATCAACATTGGAAACGTTGAAGCACCGAACGTGGATTGGTTGAAGCTAAACATTAACGTCGTTGGATGCCGGCTCAGTGGTCTAGGGGTTAAGCGTTCGCTCACGAGACCGAATTCAGGATTCCCGCATTCGAGATCGTGAATGCACACTGCTGAGCAGTTCCATACTAGGAAAAACGGCCGTCCAATGTTTCCAGGTTTTCAATAATGGTCTAACTTAGATTGACTCACGATTTCAATAATATAGATGAAGTTATTTCTTAAAAAGTTTTCGATCTCATATGATGATCATTTTTCTACAAAGCATTTCATTTTGATTTATCAGTTGAAGTGAAAATTCTCTTTAACTTTGTGACAATCTTTTTTTCTGTCAAAAGAAACCATTTTATTTGTCGTTTGTTTCTGTATTTTAAGATATATATTCACAATAGGATTGAATATCAAGTTCTTGTGCTAGCCATATAATAATGTTCCTTTTTCACCATTGAATTAACTGGCCTAAATTTAATAATATGTGTAGCATTTTTCATGTATATTTAACTTAGTATTTTGGTAACCATAGAAATGAGTATAACCAGTTAATGTATACATTTTTGTACAAAGATAGAGATTTTATTCAAGTGAAGTTACATTCCGCATCAACCGTACTTCAATTGGATCTTTATACAAGAATCGTCTTCAAAATAAATTTCTATGCCTAAATGCCTGCATTTTGATAGATAATTAATAACAAACCTATGAAACAAAACATTTAAGTGTTAATTATAAATTCATGTAAATTTCGAAATAATGTGTAGATTGTCTTTTTTATACACATAAGCTGGTTCTGGTCCAGAGTCGTCTGCAACACGATCATCTATTGCTCCTGCCCTACCTAGTCGTAACAGACCAACAGTTCGAGGCTCTGGAATTACTGTTCTTGGTCAAGGAACTGGTGAAGGCCCATATTATCTTGCTCCACAAGATGGTAATCGTGGAAGAGATAAAACACCTCAAGGAAAAGTAAGAAGTTTTTACTCTTAAACTTAATCTGTTATATTATTGTGTGAGTGTATCAAACATTTTTATGTCATGGTTTACTAAGATCTTACGATAATTTAGTTTACAAATTTTTCATTATTAGTTTTGAAGAAATCGCGTTTCATGTGAACTATTTTAGTTTTTTTATTATTATTGGCTTTATTCAATATCATGTTTTGCTACAACATAAAAATTCTCAGCACAGGGTATTTCAACAAGTTTTTTACACAAAAAACAGAAGAAAAGACAAAAGAAGGGAAAAAAGGTTTAAAAAAATCTGAAAAAACTGTACACCTTTTCAAATTAGAAACATGTTAAGAATGCAGGTTATTGACTAGGTTAACTCTAACAACCTGTTCGTCACAGAGTATATTTGCTAGGTGAGGTATTATAGAACTTTTATACTTTTGCTTGCGTGCATGGATTTTAATGTAATTACGTCTCGTTCTACCAGAAGATCTATAAGGAGAAAGATCAGAGTGAAGGGGATGGTTAGTATCTGATAAAATAACGCCTGCCAGGAGTTTGCATGACTTTAGATGTCTATCCACAACCATATTAATTATGACCTCAAAAGATTCATCACACACATTGCTAACTGCCTTCAGCACTCTTCGCAATACAGCAAAGTCTTTTCTCAAAAGTCTGTAGAAGGAATAATGGAGAAGAGTAAAGAATAATAGGTAATATGCAAGAATTGACAAATTGTAAGAGTAAATGACGAGTAATCCCAAGAGCATGGAATCTCTTTATGTATTAAGTCAGACGGAAAGCCTTCTTTGATGACAATAAAACGTGAGAAGACCAAGAGAGATCAGAGGAAAAGGTGACACCAAGATAATTGACCTTCGACACTGTGTTTATCAAAGAGTCTCCAATGGTACAAGCATTATGGGATCTCAAAATGGTGTTTAGATGCCGTTCATGTCTCATGCTAAAGTTAACAGCTTGACATTTAGACGGATTAAGTATGAGACCATTACCAACAGACCGACAATCAATACGAGACAAAAACTCATTCATTTCTATGGAATGTGAAGAGGAAGAGATAAGCATACATACAGTGAGATCATCCGCATATTTCACAAAAGTGTTTTCTGTGGAAGATGGCAGATCATGCAGAAAGAAAGAGAAAAGAAGAGGTGAAAGAACAGCTTCTTGTGGTATAACTTCATGAGACAGTAAAGACTCTGAACACTTTCCTCCAAATACAATGTACTGTTCCCTTCCAGAGAGCTAGGAACATAGCCAGTTGGTTATCCAGCTGTCAGTGTTGACGCTGATTAAATTGTTAATTAAATGTTGTCTTGGTATAGAATCAAAAGTTGAAGTATAGTCCAGAAGAGCGCATCGAACACACTTCTTACCCTTTTCTAAGTTGAACACTATATTATGATGCAGAACATCAACAGCATCTAAGATGCTTCTTTTGCATCTGTAAGCAAAGTGATACGGATCAATATGCTCGTTTATCGTAGGCTCAAGTGGAAGTGTCAATAATTTTTCCATTGTTTTCAGGAAGGGTGAAGTTATTGCGATAGGTCTAAATTTCCTTCCTTATCACCAGATACTTACTTGAATACAAGGATTATCTTCATCTTTCTCCACATTTTCGGTATGAGATTAGATGAGAAGGATCTGTTAAAGAAAGTCGTGAATGGATAACATAGGACGTCAGCACATTTAAAAAACGGAGGTTTGGGATACCATCAGTTCGTAAACATCGGGATGAATTGAGTGACTGGAGACATCTTCGGACATCAGTTTCAGTGAAACTAGGAACACAGCTATTCTTTAAACCTGTGGATGAAGGTAGCATTACATCAGATGACTGACGTACAAAAGACTTATTTAAGTCGCAAACATTCAGCTGGTTATCGCTCCTAATCTGTCTGTCACCTGTAAGTTCTTAAAGAGTTTCCACATACTTACATAACATCAGTAGTGATTTCCAGTGAGTCATCTGTAACTAATTCCCAGTTAGTCGTATGAAACATGTTTTTCAGATTTCGGATATTTTCTTCTGAGTACTTCCTATATTTGACTTTCTCGGTTTGATGTAAGAGTGTACTCTTCCCATGCTTTCCATATACTTTAGGTAAAACACGAATTATACAGTGATCCGAGCTAGACAATGTAGCACGTTTACGAGTCACATATATACCCACATCATTAATGAAAACGAAGTCTAAATGAGCATCCAAGCGAGTAGGGAAATCTACTACATTTTGGTGACCTAGTGACGTAAGGAAGCTACAGTCATATGAATTGAAATCGCCACATACAAGTGAAAGTGAATCACTAAAGGCAGTAACAGCGAACTCAGTGAATTCATCAGCGAAAACAGATAGCGCAAATGATATGCAGTCTGGAGTCACGTAGATATTGGTAACATAAACGTATCTGTATTTATTCAGGTGTTGTGGACGACATCTTAGAGTTAGACAGTCGATAAATTCATTTGAAAACTTGAAACACGCAAACAAAGATCGACACCAGTTCACGTTTAAAAACGTAGCTACACCGTCGCCACACCTCGTTTTATTGTTTGATCGATCTTGACGATAAATTTTTCAATCACGTAGTAATACTAGGCAGTCCTGTAAATCATTTGACCAAGATTCTTGATTTATGATGACACCACAATTACGATGCGTATTTTGACTTAGTAGGAATTGAATCACTTCAACATGTCATGAGGTCCTGGGTCACAAGAAGCACCACCACAAGGAATGGATCACTGTTGATACACTGGATAAGATTCAAGAAAGAAGGAACAAGAAGGCAGCGATCAATACCAGCCGAACAAGAGCAGAAAAAGCCAAGGCACAAGCTGAATACACGGAAATAAACAAACAAGTGAAGAGGAGCATCAGAACCGACAAACGTAAATATGTGGAAGATTTAGCAACGACGGCGGAAAAGGCTGCAAGAGAAGGAAACATGAGACAATTGTATGACACGACAAAGAAACTCTCTGGAAATCGCCGCAAACCAGAACGACCAGTGAAAAGCAAGGAAGGCAAGGTAATCACCAACATTGAAGAGCAACAAAACAGGTGGGTAGAACACTTCAAAGAACTCTTGAATCGACCAGCTCCACTGAACCCACCCAACATCGAAGCAGCACCCACGGACCTCCCAATCAATGTTGGCCCACCAACAATTGAAGAAATCAGCATGGCCATCAGACAAATCAAGAGTGGCAAAGCAGCAGGACCGGACAACATCCCAGCAGAGGCACTAAAAGCAGACGTAGCGGCAACTGCAAGGATACTCCACATTCTCTTCAATAAAATTTGGGATGAGGAACAAGTACCAACAGACTGGAAAGAAGGACTTCTGATCAAAATACCGAAGAAAGGCGATCTCAGCAAGTGTGATAACTACAGGGGCATCACTCTTCTCTCAATACCGGGAAAAGTCTTCAACAGGGTATTGTTAAACAGGATGAAGGACTGCGTAGACGCCCAACTTCGTGACCAACAGGCAGGATTCCGTAAGGATAGATCGTGTACAGACCAAATCGCAACTCTACGGATCATTGTGGAACAATCAATTGAATGGAATTCATCACTCTACATCAACTTCATTGACTACGAAAAGGCATTTGATAGCGTGGACAGAACAACACTATGGAAACTTCTTCGACACTACGGCGTGCCTCAGAAGATAGTCAATATCATACAGAACTCATATGATGGATTACACTGCAAAATCGTGCATGGAGGACAGTTGACAAAGTCGTTCGAAGTGAAGACCGGTGTTAGGCAAGGTTGCTTACTCTCACCCTTTCTCTTTCTCCTGGTGATCGACTGGATCATGAAGACGTCAACGTCTGAAGGGAAGCACGGGATACAATGGACATCTAAGATGCAGTTGGATGATCTAGACTTCGCAGACGATCTGGCCCTTCTATCCCAAACGCAACAACAGATGCAGGAGAAGACGAACAGTGTGGCAGCAGCAATAGGTCTCAATATACACAAAGGGAAAAGCAGGATTCTCCGATACAACACAGCATGCACCAATCCAATCACAATTGACGGAGAAGATTTGGAAGATGTAAAAACCTTTACATATTTGGGCAGCATCATTGATGAACAGGGTGGATCTGATGCAGATGTGAAGGCGCGGATCGGCAAAGCAAGAGCAGCATATTTACAACTGAGGAACATCTGGAACTCAAAGCAACTGTCAACCAACACCAAGGTCAGGATTTTCAATACAAATGTCAAGACAGTTCTACTGTATGGGGCAGAAACCTGGAGAACTACAAAAGCCATCATCCAGAAAATACAGGTGTTTATTAACAATTGTCTACGCAAAATACTTCAGATCCATTGGCCGGACACTATTAGCAACAACGTACTGTGGGAGAGAACAAACCAGATCCCAGCGGAGGAAGAAATCAGGAAGAAGCGCTGGAAGTGGATAGGACACACATTGAGGAAAGCACCCAACTGCGTCACAAGACAAGCCCTCACATGGAATCCTGAAGGCCAAAGGAAAAGAGGAAGACCAAAGAACACATTACGCCGAGAAATGGAGATAGACATGAGAAAAATGAACAAGAATTGGATGGAACTAGAAAAGAAGGCCCAGGACAGAGTGGGTTGGAGAATGCTGGTCAGCGGCCTATGCTCCATTGGGAGTAACAGGCGTAAGTAAGTAAGTAAGTAAGGAATTGAAGATAGTCCACTTTGTTGATTAGTAATCGGCAGTTAGAATTTAGCAGCTCGAGAATCGACATACGATTGATGTTCATTCTCTTCAACGCATTTTGCTAACCACCACGATGTCTTTTATAGTACTTTTTTGTAACTTGTGCAGCGAAAGATTGTAGGCTTTTCATAAACGCGCCTGTATATGTTATGCGATTAATGGACATAATGAGAGGTTAAAACAAAATGAAAAACAGATAACTTCTTGAAATAATTAGATGGCTGGAACAGGTAACCCAGATATTCAAGCAGGCCGTCGTTTTGTCAAATCTTCACTTCAGAACTGGAAAAAGCTCTATCTTCTCAGTTATCAGTGAAATGCATTCTGGAAACAGCTCTGATGAATGTAAGTATTGGCGGTGTGGATCTGTTGCCTGGAGAAAGGCTTATTGACCTTGAGTATGCGGGTGACATTGTCTTACTGTGCGATAATACCAAAACCAGGCAATCCGCACCTAATCAGTTGGCAATCAATGTCCGTTGGTATGGTATGTGCTTTGCACCTTCGAAGTGCAAAGTACTTTTGCAAGACTGGCACGACTGTGATCCTGTACTCACCCTGGATGGTGACCAGATAGAAGTAGTCGAGAAGTTCGTGTATTTGGGTAGCTACATAAGTGCTGGTGGGGGTGTGAGTGATGAGATCAATGCACGTATAGTGAAAGCCAGAGCGGCTTATGCCAATCTGGGCCATCTTTGGCGTCTTCGTAATGTTAGTCTGGCTGTAAAAGGTCGGATCTACAACGCGTCGGTGAGAGTAGTTTCGCTCTATGTTTGTGAAACCTGGCCTCTCCGAGTTGAGGACGTTAGACGACTCTCTGTGTTCGATCATCGTTGTCTCCGAAGGATTGCTGATATCCAGTGGCAGCACTATGTTAGTAACTAAAAGAATTCTTTGTGGTTGTACTTTTTTTCCCCACTATTATCACTATTTCATTACCATACACTAATTTGTGGTCGTTATTTTTCCTTTTTTTCTTTTTACACACACCTTACTCGCCTTTTCTCTTCCCATTGTCATTATTATTATGTGGTACATATGTATTTGGTGCTTCGTTGTACCAATATTTATGTGTTCAAATAAATAAATAAATAAAACTAGTTATATCGCCATATTTTCTCCGTTTTATTAAACTAATTGTTTACACAGATGAGTCTGAGATTTTTGCGTCAATATTTTGTACGTGAAAGTCACTATAGCGTTCTGTTTTACCTAATAACCAGTCTACATCTTAACTGCTTTTGTGTTAAATAGTACAATAAATCCAGTGTATTCATAGTCAATCAATATTACAAACTAACAACGAAGTCTTTGTATTGTCTATAACGATAATGCGATAAAATATGTACAATATTGATGAAAATTAAGTAGCTCCGGTCCCAATACTTTATAAATCCTCTCGTTCCATAAGTCGTTCATTGCATTACCGATCCTTATTCAATAAAAAACAACAGTCGAATTTAAGACAATTTATCCTTTTTGTTCAAAGTCAGATAACACGTTAAATATTAAATAAAAATTATTTTAGTTATTCATCGCCAACATGGTATCATACATGTAAGCATGGATTTTATAAATAAATGCTAATACATTCACCAGTTCCATAATTCTAATTGCTTATGAAAAAGCAACCAAGACAATGTGGCTTGTACAACAACAATTTCACTACTATCAATATAGCATAGATAGTTAAATTCACTAGCCATTTAGTCATATTTGTATATCTGGGGATAGTTGTCACCACGTACACTGGTATCAATTAAAGAACTAAAGAAAACCATTTAGAAGTGAGTGATCATTTAATCCTAGTCTGAAAATATGATCATTAATTCTTGTGGTATCCACGATGCTATTGAGCAAGTTTCGATGGTCCAGCCTCCAGCTTCAATCAGTTTGTGATATAATGCGATCTTTGTGAAATATCATTGCTAGGTAATTTAATCACTCCCAAATTTATTGACTTTGTTCTTCATAGTTTATAAATAAATCTTCGCGATTCGATTTTGGTGCTACTTATTGATTGAGGTTATTATTATTATTATTATTATTATTGAGATGTTTGTGGTGTATTATACCGCCATTCCTTTGAGATAAAAAATGTGCGCCTTTGGAGTCTGTTTTGATATTCTAAAAGTATCTTCTTCACTGTGAAACTTAAAATTTCTGTGTTCATTCTTATGTGAAATCGAAGGTATGGATCGTTGGGAAATTTCAAACTAAAATAAAATGATTGTCTATTACTGCCAAATTTTGATTGATTCTTCAGTC